AATTCTTATATATAATTATTTTTATCTAAATACTAACTTCTGTACAAATGTAGTTGGTCTCAAAACTTAATCAATAGAATAGCTTTATTTATATCTTTGCCAACACTATCATCTAAAACACAGAAGAATTTTTAAAGCAAAACAAGCTTCAGGAAAATTGAAAAACAAACAGGTTTCTGATATCTCATATTTTTAATTGTAATTATAAAAATATCAGTGAGCAATAGTGGACCCTTGAGGGCCACAAAAATATAAATACAAAAGCAGTATCTTCCTCCAATAACCTTGGAGTAAGATATAAATTTTATTTGGCAGATGACTTTGGGGAAGTATGGTTAACATTTTATTCTTTGCCTAAATAGGCTTTGTATAAAATACCTTCCTTATAAGATGTCCAGGTTTGCATATTTTGAATATCCAATCAACTTGCCAAGAGAATGACAGATTAGATACTTTTATTCCAAATTGTTAGTTATGATTTATAAAAAAGAAAAGCATGCCCAATTCCTACATTACAGATGCTTTAGAAGTTAATCTAGACTATTTGCTAATATCAAGTGGCCTAAAATATGAATTTAACATGAGAAGGCTTCCAACAAATGTTGACTCTGGGCCATGCTTTGTGGAGCACAAGGACCTCACTATTTATTCCACTCCTGCTTTCTAGTCATTATCATCTCCTCAACCTGACAGAAAAATAAACTGAGACTCTAAACTTTATTGGCAACTAACTCAGCACTCAACAAATACTATTAGTCCAGACACAATATGATATTCTAATTTTTCTTCTAGTTCACTTCTTTCATCAGAATCTGAAACAATGATTACACATAAAACTTTCCAGGGAGCCTTACAGTTGTTTCTATAAAAGCAAGAAGTTAAGTGACTCAACCCCATTGCATCTGCTAACGATCCCCTGCAGTATTTTTACTGCTAGCATGTGTCACCAGCATTTACAATGATTATAGACATACCGTTCATTACATTGTATTTTTAAGTCTTTTCTGGATTAGAAAAATTAGTTGTTTTCTGTTGTAGTTTCAAACTGCTTGCCCATCTTCATTCTTTTATTCCTATACACCAGATGGTATCTTTTACAAAATGAAAGTCTGCAGTCATATAGATAAATTATCTTTTTCCCTAGGGGACCTTTGAGCTTCCTTCCTAGAGTATAAAGAATGAGTACAGTCAATGAATAAAGTTTGGACCTAATAGCTAGTGAGCTATTTCATTTCCTTCACATTCTATGGTTATTTTAAATATGAAAAGAAGACAGCTGGGCAAAAAAGCCTTCAATAATTTATGAGCAGCCCTTCATGGTAAATATGTGTATAGTGAAGAGAAAACAAAGACAGGATTACTTTCACAGTTAGGTGTGTGAGCTTTCATAGGTGCTAAAGACACAGACAAGAGAGTGACCCCACATCCTGTGTCCTCTGAAAGTCTTGTTGGTACCTGTCCTTTCCATGTCCTGCCTCCTTAATACTACTTTTATGCTATAAGGTATTTTGATATGAAGAATAACTTGCCAGAGACCCTAGACATAACCCATATTTAAATTGTGTAAAAATAATAATATGATCAACAGATAGGTGAAATATCTTCAAGCTAAAGATCAACTTTTAAGAAAAGAACTCTCAGAAAAATTATTTTTCAATATTGAGTACTTTAATATATTAGAAAGACATGTCCCAAACATGCAGCATCAAATTCGTCCTAATGACAATGGGGCCATTTAGCTTTCAAGGCTTTACTTTCTCATGTAGACTTTTAAAAGTTTTAAAGTTAAATAATTTTTTTAAATCCCCATTACAAAGGAATTGCTTGAAAGATCAAATGTAAAAAGCATTTTGAAAGATGTTTGGATTTTTAGACTCCTCTAGCAAAATCATAAGGTGCTTTTTAGAGTTTTAGAAAAAGAAATGACATTTCATTATCTTAAACAAGGAAACTGGAGAGAGGAGGCAGGGGCAGGGGGAAGAAATGGCCCAGACAATGTATGCACATATGAATACATGATTTAAAAATGTGAAAAAAAAACAAGGAAACTGTGTGTGGGACCACTTCTGAAGCCTACTAGACCCTCTTAACCATTTTTAATACATAAAATAAATTACAAGTATCATAATGAAAAGCAATCATACTGGAATGCAACTATATAAACATATTCTTAAGAAATATAAAAAATATATGAGCTTTTTCGTTAACTCATTAAATAGTATTATTGAGCAGTAGGTCTAACAACTGTGATAATTACCGAGTAAGTGATGAACTTAAATGATATTTTGAGACTATCCACAATAACTAAATTGTGACCTGAAAAGTCACAGGCACTGCTTATGCCATTCTGCCATTACATTCACACTCGGAGGAAGTGCTACATTTTAGTTAGGCTTAGCAAAAATAAAATTGCCATTTTCCCAACAAAGTGTAGGACTTTTTTCAATTCTATCCTTGTAGTTAAAAGCATTAAGAAAGCCTAGAAGTCAAACTAGTGTATCACAAGTGCATAACTATTCATCGACCACCTAACCCTGTAATCAGACTATAAAACATTTACAAGACCAAAAAGCTCAGAGTGCTTCTTATGTAAGAAGGCTCTCACTGAAAATTCATGTCAGTTCTTTGTGTAAGAGCTTTGCAGGTAGTGAATGTATTAAGTGGAAGCACAGTAGGTGCTTTCTAGGAATTTTAAAACCCAAGACAAATCCCTGAAACAATAAACAGGACATTTTATCTTAAGTATTTGGTCCCTTTGTATTTTTACACTTTTTTCTTCATATTTGCATTGTCTTATTTTAACAGTACAGTATAATGTATCGATTGACTGTTTTACTTTCTTTTTCAGATCTTAGAGTGAAATCTATAAGCAAGGACCCCAAATGTAGGCAGGCACAACTAAAACCCCTGCCTCAGCAGCCTCACTTTCCAGAACAGTGAATGTAAACAGTGAGTGTAAACGATTTAAAAGATTGGTGATTAAGCACAGCTACTGTCTAAAGATAGGGCAGAATCTCAGAAGTCACTTTGTCAAATTTCACTTCATGAATGAGGAAACAGAGCAATGAGAAGCTCAGGTAGTGGCTCTGGACCCACAGTATCCAGGGAAAGGGGATGGGGAACTCCCTCTCCATCACTCCACGGATGAGTCCTGTTCCTGCATGTTTCTTTCATAGTACAGTAGTGCACAGCCCATCACCCAGGGGTCTCACTTTCTGTGGTTTCAGTGAGCTGAGGTTAAAAAATTGTTAAATGGGAAAATCTCATATTTTGAAACCACATATGGTAACATAACTTTTGTTACCATATATTGTTATAATTATTCTTTTCTATTATTAGTTATTATTGTTAATCTCTTCCTGTAAGTAATTTATGTATCAAACTTTATTATCAATATGCATGTACTGGGGAAAAAAAACATAGTATATATAGGATTTCATACTACCTATAGTTTCAGACATCTACTGGGGATGTGGAACACGTCCCCAGGGAATAAAGTAGGACTATGTATAGCCATTGGAACAAGGGTTTACAGTTCATTAGAAATGCATTTGTAGATTTTTTATTTCAATTATGCACATCAAAAGACTTACATGGTTAGTCATATCCCTAGTCTAACAGAGGCCCTGAAAGAACATTAAAGTATCAAAAATTTGTTTTGAATAATTTTTTCAAAGTCTAATTTATTAACAGTGTTATTATGACTACTGAAAATCCAAAAAAAAACAGAAAATACAATAAACCACCTCTAATTTAATTTTATTTCATGGCTTTTTCCTGATTAGAAAAGGAATTACATATTTTCATTATAATAAATTTGAAAATACAAGGACAAATGAAGAAGAAAATAGCAAACAGCCATATCCCTAGAGTCAAAGTCTTTAGAAAAATTAAACTGCAAATGGCAAATATCAGTAGGGGAAAATACATGATATCCCAAGAAATTAAAGGAATGAAAATTCAAAGAACTAACACTGGCAGCTATTAAATGTAGAAGATTCAAAAAGGTACTGTAACAACAATCCTGACAGGGCTCTGTCAGGTCAAGATGGAATACAGTGGTGTATAAGCAATTAGCATTTGGGACATACATTTAGTGCCTGGCAAGCCACAGGTGTTATAAATATTTGTTCAGTGAATAAATAGGAACAAATGTGCCAACATATATCAGGACATCTGAATATGACAATAATCTTTGACTGATAAGGCCAAATGCACACTAAGGTAGTCACTGTAGCTTTCTTAAAAGGGAAAGATTGATCACAACTAACCTTCCAACATTTGCATAATGCTTAAGTAAATGATATAGGTCTATAAGTCTATAGATTTAATTTCCACATTAATCTAAAACTATAGTAAATTCCTAAGTGTCTTGTCTGTAAGACAGGTTTCTTAGCTTGACTAAAATATATAAAATACTGGTGCATTTAATAACTTGGTATAAGATTTCATTTCACCCATTTTTTTTTTTAGTGGTAGTGGGGTTTGAACTCAGGACTTCAAGCTTGCTAGACCAGCACTCTACCATCATTTCATTCTTTTAAAGAAATAGTTTTAATTTTTAAATTGAAGAAAACCAGTGTATTTAAAACTTTATGTTGAGACACCAGGTGAAGCACTATCATTTTTCTTCTCAAATAGATTCAAAAGTGTTACCCATCTGTCTCTTACCACAGAAGACAGGGTCAGGGTTTCCTTTGGTAATCATGCAGATGGTGAGAGAAAATAGGTGTGACTTGCTATTTTCTTAGCACCATGACTTTGCTCTGATGTATCCTCTCAGGCCAGCTGTGCACAGACACACACACACACACACACACACACACAAAGGGAAAGACTGATCACAACTAACCATCCAACGTTAGTATAATGGTTAAGTAAATGATGTAAGTCTACAGAACTACAGCGATTGAATTGCCACATTAATTTAAAACTATAGAAAGTTCCTGAGCCTGTGGCTCAGGGTGGTGGCCCTTTCCAAACACCACAAGTCACAGTACCTTTATGAGCTCTAGGGGTTCATCTCCTTCCTCCACCACGACAAGCTGGGACCTTCCTTTCCTCTCATTGTCTCTGATGCTGATGGCAACCTGGCTGGCTTTTAGACGCTCATATTTGTTGCATGAAGAACCACACCACTGGTAGATTTCCTAAAAGGAAGAGACAGATATTTTGATCTCTTATGTATGTGAAGGACATTCAGCCTTGATGTAATACTTATGGTGATTAATTAGGAAAAACCAAAAGGGTATGAAAAAGAACATAAACATTACAACACTGAGGTATACGATGTATATATCTAAATTCTATCTCACTCTTCATCCTACTGATTTGTTAGCATTTTTATAAAAATAGATATATCTTACCATTCTTCATGTATATAACCCATTAGTTACAAATTATGAAAATAAACTTATGTATAAATCTATTATAGTTCAGAAAGGTAGTTAAAAATCTGTTAAAATAATATACTATTGATAATAAAAATTGATATAACACTTTTGTAAAGCAATTTATTTGTTTATCCATTCATTCAAATCAACAAACACAAATTGTGTGTATTTAATTATGTATAACATGATGCTTTGAGATGGATATACATTATAGAATGGCTGAATCCAGCTAACTAAAATATGTAAAATAATTAAACAATCCTTATCTGAAAAAGGGTAAAAACCTTTGACCCAGTCATATCACTCACTAAGAAGCCCATTTTAATAAATTATTCATAAAGAGAAGAAAAAAAAAACACATACACAAAGATTTTCATTACTATATGACTACAGTAGTGAGGCATTAGAAAAATATTAACTGTTCAACAATAGGATACAGTTATGTAAACTCTGATACACAGAAAAACTGGATACTTCATTATGAAATTATTTTAACATAAAATATAGAAAAATAAAAACTGAGCAGTTTGATGTATTATAGAGATTAAATTAGCTGTCATTTAGATTAAAATACTGTTTATTTTAGATTTGAGCACAGTGTTCAGGAAGAATATAGACACAAATGTGTTGGGAACCAAAAGCCACAGTCTCACAAGGCCACTGTGACAGCAACATTCCAACAAGGTCAGAATCTGCAGGTGCACCATGTCTCTATCACAGTGAGAAGGAACACTAAATGGCTTCCTCAACTGAAAAGAAGTTTATACTTAGTCAAGGACACTGGCAGTAAGAACGCAGGGGGGCAAAAACAGAAAGTTTGTAACTAGGTTAGAGTATTTTTGATGTTTAAGTCTCTTCCTCTTTTGTATAAAGCTTGCTGAGAAAAATTAAATTTGCCAGTTGGTCACCAGTCTTCTGGTTATGTGTCTTGTCATTCCCTTCCTGAGTGAGTCCTTTCGTGTGTCTCATCTGGTTGCTCATTCCTTCCCTGAGTCCTTTCAGGTCAAGGACCTCTGCGATCCTGGCACAAATGCAACATTAAGAGTAAATGGTCATGTTACCCATGAAATGTGGTTTAACAAAAGAAAGAAGTATGAGGCACTCCAGCTAGGTGGAGCTGTGGGAATGTGTCACCACCACTATTCGGATGGTGTAAACCAACACAAGCTTTTCTTGAGGGCAGCAATTAGATTAAGCAATTAAATGTGCTTTTAGTGTCAGGAATGTCTATGAATTTACACTACAAAAGCACCTGAATGTGGGCAACAATGAGATAAAACAAATTCTGATCAACAGAATTTGATCAGAGGAACTGCTATATAAATATTATATGAGTACTCATAGATCCCTCTTCAGGGGAAAAAAATTGAGGGAAATGTTTTAATACTGATGTGGAGGCTAAGCACCTTGGTAATCCCTGCCACTCAGGAGGCAGAGATTGGGAGGATCATGATTCAAGGCCATTCAGGGCAAAAAGTTGGTGAGACCTCATCTCAATAAATAAATCATGCTTGATGACGTACACCTATAATCCTGGGGGGGGGCACAGATAGGAGGATCACAGTGCAAGGTTGGCCTTGAACATAAACATGAGACCCTATCTGAAAATAACTAAAGTAAAAAAGGGCTGGGGTGGGGATGGGGCTCAACTGGTAGTGTCTGTGTAGCAAGCCCAAGACCCTAATTCAAACCCAAGTACCACCAAAAAAGAGGGAAAGAGATAGAGAAAGAAAGGAAGGAAGGTAAGAGAGGAAGGAAAGAATAGAAGGAAAGGGGAAAGGAGGGAGGAGGGGAGAGAAGGGAAGGGAAGGGAAGGGAAAGGGAAGGGAAGGGAAGGAAAGAAAAGAGAAAGAGAGGAAGGAAGGAAGAAAAAACTCAAGAGGACCATACTTTGTACTCCCTCTCATTTTGGAATGTGAAGTCAATATGGTTTAAAAAGTGCACTTTCCTCTCTAACTTCCTTTCTAAATCTGGGCATTGGAATACGACACTCACATGTGGAGGTCATCTGAACACCATGCCAAGGTCATTAGTTATGAAGTGTGAAAACAAACGGTTTCCAACAATTAGTCAGCATTAAAATCAATGGAGTAGGAAGGTCATTTTTTTAAATGCAGAGATGGATCCCGTCCTTTGGGCTCTCAGGTGTATTCTGGGTTACTGACAGCAACCCAGGAGATTGCAGCGTTCAACCAGCATTAAAGCCATTGCTGGTCACCCTACATGCACAGCAGGTCTTGGCACAGACTGCTTTCTCTACCTGGGTGAGGATATTTCACAAATAAAGTCTTTTCCCAACAGGTTATGTGAGAAAACAAACTTCTAATGATGATATTTTATATTGACAGCAAAGTACAGAGAATAGATTAGAAGTTAGCACTCTAGATTTCTCTGACTTATCACCTTTCATAACTGACTCACTCCACACTTAGGTAAACATCTAACAGATGACTATGTTCTTGGTTTCCTAGTCATATAAATGACTTCTCATCTACTTCAAAAATATTACAGATTTTCTATAACCAAATTTTATTAGCATCTGTAAAGCACTATGCAAACATAGTACAATATATTTAAGATGATTGGTAGATAATGACAATTTTAAAAACATGATTATTATATGTAAGAAAAATTTACAATATTTTATGGATTCCAAAATATTCTATTACTTTGGATTAGAAATTTTTATGTCTGTATCAAATCACAAATAAACTCAGTTGTAGAAAATATTCCTTAGTTTCTACCTTTAAAACAGTAAAAAAGTAACAAATACTCATAAAAATAGTAAAACTTAAAAGTGAAGTTTCCCTTTGAACTCTAGATGACTCAATCACTAAATTGCTAATGAAAACTATTTGGCATGAAAATGAATTAATTTGTATTATACTTACTATTTTATTATTTTCATTTTATTTTATGCTGTCGTTTGTTTTCTTACTAGACTTATTTTTCAATGATTAGCTCAGACAATAAGCTTAATAAAATAACAACTTTAATTGTAAATTGTCCAAAGTCAGTACAATAGTCACATTAATGAAAACACCATCTACATTTAATCTAATTTTCTATGCAAATATCTCATTCAGTGTGGTGGCAGCACACTAAAACTTGCTTTAAAAAATTTAAATAGAATTTTAACAATTCATGGAATTTATAGTTTATATTCCACCATGGACAGATGGTGTGTTTAGGACATCTCATTTTAACAGAGCTCCACAGTGTTGAAAGACGTGGGCATAGCACTATTAATAAACCATACCACCCAACACTTACTCTATTCAGAGGTAGCTGGTTAAGACACTGAACTACTCTGTGCACAGGGAAACTTTGTATTCAGTTGGCACCATGCTTGAAAAAACGTTCTCCTATAATTCACCTTACCCTGAATCTAGAGGGAGTAGGCTTTTCAAACAAATCCTGCACAGAACTAAAAGAACAAAGTCTGAATTGATGTGATAGGTTAATATTCATTGTAACAAAACATTTTTGTACAATCTAAATTATTTTATTTATAATACTTTCACAATTTAGCTGAAAATATTTTCATTGATTTAAATATGCTAGAGACTGAAAATTGAAAGCAACATGATTTCAGAGGCAACTATTTCACCTTCTGAAATTCTAAGGCATTTAACAACTCAAGACCAAACGTTGTATTTCTTTGGCGTAAGAAAATATAAAGACTTCCTGTAAATATGGAAGTATCCATTCAATTTGGAATGAAGCCCACTTAAATTTTGCCAGAAAGTTGTTGGTGTATATGTCCAATAGAACTTCATGGACCTATAATTAACTCTTACTATACAAGTTATTAAGAAAAACACAATCACATAATTGAAGAAATAAGGACATAAAGACAACCTGTTGCTGACAATTAGTGTGGTCCACCAGCAAGTGTCAATTACAGAAACAACCATACTGGAGGAGGGGAAACCTATTATTGGTCTCAAAAACCAGTGGTTTCTAAAATTTCCTTTGAACTCTGTGGTTAAAGTTAATAAGTAAAACATCAAAGTACAGCCAAACACCATTTGCGGACAGGAAATAAGAGCAAAAATATAAGAATGCTCAATGGTGCCCCTGAAGGGAAGCAAGACTTCAGAAGCTGTGTTTAAAGCAGCACCCAAAATAGCCCATGTGGCTTCGATTTACATGTGTGGATGACTACCTTTTTGTCCTTTTTCTAAGTTATTTATTCTAAATACATCTAGTATTTCAAAAGATGAGAATGGGAGCCCAGACTTCTTCCTCTTCCTTATTTCTATTATCTTTGCTTTTACTGTGCTTGGCTTTTCCTTTGATCTAGTTAACCAAATACAGAAATTCATTAAGATATTCCTTTTGCCTGGAGGGTCTCTAGGCTCAAAAATGATAATAGTTTGTGAGATACTTCTAGGAATCTACGTTTTCATTTTGAAAGTTTAAGACATGACTTATTTAGTTTTTGGATAAACAGATGTCTACTTATAACCTATTTTGTTGCTTCCTCAGCACCTTCAATGGCATATGTATGTATGTATAGATATACATTTAAATGAAGGAAGGGTAGAAGATGAATGGTGCAATGTGCAGGAAGGCTTGAGGACCAGAAAGGAAGTAACTACATCTGAACCTTGGCAAAGCGATGATGAGAGCAGAGAAGAAAGGATAAAGCCTGCATGGTTGGCCAATAATGTCACTGGCTGTGCACTGGAGGGACAGGGAAAGGGAGACAATTTGAATAAGCCTAGTTTGGCTGCCAGGCAAGTGATGCCACT